GCCAAGCTCAATATTCAGGCTCCTCCCTGTAGCCAGAACTGGCAAGTGCTCCCAGGTAAAACAGCTACATTTCCCCATTTACTTTCTTTCACACCCTTCCTGGATTTTACCATACCAGCCCTCTTTACTTTGCAACAACAGGTTGTATTTAAATACATTTTCTGTGAACTGCCTTTCTAGTTGTCCTTAGCGAGAGCACTGGTCTGCTGAAAGCTACTGTATGTAGCCTATCGAGTAGTAGGATATATTTGTGCCTTTTGAAGCTCCATACTTGACAATGTGTATGTTTGTACATGAATTTTTGCTTTTAAAAAATCACTGTATCACATGTGAGAAGTGTTAAGTATGTGGGGAAATAAAGTTGGGTGCAGTAAGTCACTCACAGCAGGATGACAGCTGGCCAAACTGGTAAGACACTGGCAGGGCAGAAACCACCTACGTTCTATACTCACCCACTTCCGCTACAGCTAGTAAGTTGCATTCAAGGCAACCTACCTTGTGCCTTCAATCCACCACTTCCAGACAAGACACTCAAAATTAGTCTGCCCCAGAATTACTTTAAAAATCCTGCTGGCAGGCTCCTGTCCTATGTATGTCACCAAGACCAGGATCGCTCTCTCTGCCTGGACATCAGAATGTCTTCTTGTTCGTGAGTCCCCTGCAAAAACCTTTCCTTATTTCACATATGCCTGAGCAATAAATCTCTGAATTGTTTACAACTGCTGCCTCCAGGTCTCATCTAATACCTTAAATTGAAAGGAACAGCACACCGGGCAATGGGCCAGATTGTATTTTAACAAGGCAAAGTACTAAAATCAAAACCACATTGCCTAAATTGCTGGACACTGCAATTGAACACCTCTGATGTATGATAAACTTAAGTTTAACTTAAAGCTTCCATTCTCTTAAAAGTATTTTTCTAGTAACTACTATCTGATATCCACTGAGATGCCACTTCAAGTATTTCACACAAGCCCAATAAAATACCACCTCATAGTAAATGTTTTCCTGTAATTTCCTATAGCTTGTACATTTTCTCCAGCTTATGAGTAAAGACTTCCCTACAAATGCTAATAGAGGTTTCTACCCTATTTGATTTCTCTGATGTTTAGTAAGTTGTGGCTTTGGGCAAAGGTGCCCTGTATTCATTCAACAATAGGTTTTCTCCACTCTGAGCTTTCTCGCATACTGTATGGTCCAAATTCCAGTAGAAAATTTTCCAATGTCCAGAATATCTTCATGTGATTTTCTCCCCTCTAGATGTTGTCTGCTCTGTATTTTGAGAACTGACTTTAGATCAAAGGTGTTCTCAAAATCATTATATTAATAGATTTTCCTCTCCACTATGTGTTCTTTGTTCTATAAACTCTGGACTTCAACAGAGTGATTTCCCTCATTTATTATACTTATAGAGTTTCTCAAATGTGTTCTCTGATGTACAGTGAGTTTTGACTTCACATAGAATGACTTTCCACAAACATTACATTCATAGGGTTTCTCCCCTGTGTGTATTCTATGATGTGCAATGAGTTTGGACTTCACACAGAATGATTTTCCACATTCATTACATTCGTAGGGTTTCTGTCTTATGTGAGTTCTCTCATGAACAATTAGGGCTGACTTCTGACGAAAGTTTTTCCCACATTCATTACATCCAAAAGGCTTCTCTCCTGTGTGTCTCCTCTGATGTTCTGTGAAACCTGAGAAGTAGCAGAAAAATTTTCCACATTCAACACATTCATAGGGCTTCTCACCTGTGTGAGTTCTCAAATGTTTAGAGAGAGTTGACTTCTCAGAGAAGGATTTTCCACATGCATTACATTCATAAGGCTTTTCCCCTGTGTGAGTTCTCTGATGTTTAATGAGATCTGATTTTCGGAGAAAGGCTTTCCCACATTCACAGCACTCATAGGGCTTCTCCCCTGTGTGTGTTTTCTGATGTACAGTAAGGACTGACTTAAATGAGAAGGATTTCCCACACTCACGGCATTCATATGGTTTCTCTCCTGTGTGTGTCCTGTGATGCTGGGTGAGAGTTGACTTTTCACTGAAGGATTTCCCACATTCCTGACATTCGTAAGGTTTCTCCCCTGTATGAATTCTCTGATGTTTAATGAGGTCTGAATTCTTGTAGAAAGTCTTCCCACATTCTTGACATTCACAGGATTTGTCCCCCGTGTGGGTTCTCTGATGTCTTGTGTGGGCTGACTTCTGGTTGAAGGTTTTTCCACATTCATGACATTCATAAGGTTTTTCTCCTGTGTGTATGCTCTGTTGTAAACCAAAGATTAGCTTTTCACTGAAAAAGTTTCCATATTCACTATATTCAATTATATTGTCAATTGAGTGGGTTCTCTGAATTTGAATGAGGTTTGACTTCTGGTTCAAAGGGTGAACACTGTGTTCAAAAAGAAAGGGTTCCTCGAAGAAATGTTCTCCACATTTATTAAATTCATAGTGATTATCTTCTGGATGTGTTCTTTGATGAGCAATGAGAGACGACATATCACAGAAGTTTTCACCACATTCAGTGTATTCACAGGTGTTCTGTCCTGTGTAAGGTTTCTCATGTATAACGAAGAGTGAATTTTCATGGAAAGCTTTCCTACATTCATTGTATTCAAAAGGTTGCTCCAAAACTTGAATTTTCTGATGCTGAACAGAGTCTTCATTAAGAAAGAGGCCATTCCCATTTTTATTATATTCATAAGGTTTCTCTTCAGAATGAATTCTTTCATGTTTGTCACCATGGAGCCATTTTTTACCTTTGTTAAACTCATCAAACTTGTTTCTTGAATAGTTTTCACTGCTATTAATTAATTCTGAAATATAAAGAGAGTGACACAAAAGATTAGCTGACAAGGATATTTAGAGGAAACAGCATTAGATCTGGGGGAGTTCATCAGTTTAGGTCATGATCTCTCATGCCTAGAATATGACAACAGTGTCTACAAATCCAGTCACATCTTGTCTCCTAGTCTACCTAGCAGAAATAAATCAATGCTCTAAAAGCTCTAATTCACAAAAGAACAGTACAAAAACCCAAGCTTTAATTCTTTCTACTTCTGGTTCATGAGGAATAAAAATATGCAAACAAGAGCAAAATCAAAGAGTGGACAAACCATTCTTGCCACAGGATCGGACTGCACAGCTCTACCCTAGTTGTGGTATTTTCCCTTTATTTCATCAGCACTGGTCAGCAGTGGACCTCTCCTGACCATCAAACCCCGTTTCAATGCTTTCTGGCTTTTGCCCAAACAAATCTCACCTGATTTAGTATCAGTATTCAATCCTGCTTTTATATACATGTTTCAACATCTCTACATATCATGAAAACAAAACCTTAAGGGATAAAATTCTAAACCTGGTTCCAGAAATTTCATTTACCTTTAAGATTTTTGGTTATGCAGGACTGTTTTTACTCCTCTGCTATCCACAATAATCTACTTCCTTGAGTTCAACAGCCTAAGAACTGATAATACATATTTTTTTAAACATATCACTGAAACAAATATATCATTATATCTGGATTCAGATCAGAATCAAGCCATCATTTTACAAATCTAGAATAAATATATTTTTCCAGGTAAGCCCAGCTGTTTGTCACCCATAAATTGCTCTTTCTCATCCACTGTCACCCACTCTTAGCTGTTCCTCTGGTCCTGCCTCCTCTATGTGTTCCAGGCCAGCCACCTTCAGATGTACTGACATATGGAACTCTCTGGTTCTGGTGTGTTGGGCAAGCAGGATGTGTTGAGTTACAGTTGTTTTACTGGTTGTAGGTTGAAGGGGAGAGACAAAATGAATATCTCACACTGCCATGATGCTGACATCACTCAAAGGGGTAATTTTTAAGAATAGCTTTGTGTTATTTTGTGGCTACTACATCACAATATATGGTAAAAATCAATTTGGAATAAGTCCTAGAGATGGTCATCCCAATCAGGGAAAGAAGTGTTTGTGGTGAAACCTTAGTGTCCGTATCCAGACTCTTACACTACTGGAGATAGAGCAAGCCCCCATGATGGATAATTTTTGCTTATGGGGACTTTAGAAGGCTTAGAAATGATTTTTACCTGAGGGAAGGCAGTATACAAAGAAGACAGCATAACCAGGGCAGTCTTGAGAGGGAGATACACTTTAGGAGATGCCTTTTGGAAGAGTAATGCTGTTTGCTAATGAGCAAATGAGTTAAAATGAGCTAATGAGTTACAATCTGATGTCTGACCCATCAGAGGCTGATAATGGGTCTCTAGGCTGTTGCACCTTCAGTGTTTCAACTTGGGATCTATGACTGACAACATGAAAAAGACTTTTAAAAAGAAAACCCTGCAAGTAAAGCCTTGCTGGCCAGCAAAATAATCATCTAATGCCTGGAGTCACAGAGGTCTTCCCTAACTGCCTTCTCTGCTCTGGCCTTAAGCTTTGCCAATCTGAAAGCAGGTGTGGTCATCCTGCTCAATGGCAGAACTCTGACAATGTTGAAAAACATCCCTGTGGCGCTATAAGCTAGGGAAATACCATGGATCCTGGCAAAACTGTCTGCATCCCTTGTTACCATGTGAAAGGCTTGTTCTAATAGCCTGTACAACCAAAATTACAGAGGCTGCCTGAACTCTTAGTTTGTGATTCCTGTGGAAGACACAAGGTAGTGGGGAGGGCCACCCATTTCTGGGAGAGTATCAAATATGGATTTAACCCCTTCTAGAGGATATCTCACCACTATTGACTTTTCAACATTGAGGAAGAATTAGTCTGATTCTATTTTCCTCACTTCTTTCTCGGCACGCATACCTCAGCAAGGCAGTCTTATTAAATGCTTCTGTCTTCAGAATTGGATGGTCTCTGGACTACTAACTGGGTATGATGAGGCCAAAAAAGGTGTGTGTTGGGAGGGGGCAGTATATAGACATATGTTTTGAAATTTTTGAAAATTCAAGATCTTATCCTGACCCTGATGACATCCTTGGTATAAAGCTGGAAACAATGCTTTTTTTTCCCTCCCTGAAGAAATTTATTTACATACCAAAAGGTTAGAGAGAGAACTCAGGATCCTCCAAGGAAACAAAGGTTTTTATCTCTCCTTTGAAAAGAGGAGGGGGATGAGCTACCTCTCTCTCTTCTATAGAAACATGGCCAGATTCATTTTGTGAGTGTTCTTCACCTACAACATTAACTTTGCATGCATGTGTAGGACACTTGGCTTCTGTCTCATTGCACCAAGAGTAGCATATTAAGGTATGTCAGAACCACAGTTATTACTTGGCTTTAAGTAAATAATAATTCATCTGTACTGTTCCAGAAACTACATGTATTGTATTTATGATAATATTAACAAAGATAAATATTAAAAACTTAACAGTCTGAAACTTTAAATCTCCACAAAGAGGTAAATTCAGACCCAAATGGTTTCATTGGTAAAATCTTCCAAACATTAAAATAAATACCAGAATCTTACATAAAATCATTGATAGAATCAAAAAATATGAAACAATGCTCAACTCAACTTATAAAAATGAAAATAATACCGTCTTCAACCCCAAACCTGGAAAGATTACAACAAGGAAAATTATAGGATAACATCTCTATGGACATACACAGAACAATCAAAGTCAGTAATCATAAAGCCAATACATTATGGGCAAAGACGATGTATTTCAGAAATATCAGACTGGCTTAACATTTGAAAATTAATTAAGACTATTCACCATAATCACAAAATAAATAAGGAAAGCCATATGATTACCTCAATACATGCAAAAAAAGCATCTGGGAAAATTCAATATTCATTCATAATTTTAAAAAAAGTCTTAGCAAACAAGGAATGGAAGAAAACTTCCTCAAAAAATAAAGGGCATTTACAGAAATCCTTCAGTTAACATCAAAATTAATGGCAACATACTGAGTGGTTTCTCCCTCAGGTCAGACACAAGACCAAGATGTTCACTCTCACTACTTCTATACAACACTTTCCTGGTGTTCCTAGCCAGTACAGAAGGCAAGGACAAGGAAAATGGTATAAAGATTGGGAAGGAAGAAGTAGACTTGTCTTATTGATAGATGGCAAAACTGTTTATGTAGAAAATTTTTAGAAATCTACAAAACAACTACCAGAATAAGTGAATTAGCAAGGTTGCAGGATACAAGGTAAACATGCAAATATCAACTGCTTTTCTATATATTAGCATTAAACAATTAGAGAATAAATAGAGAAGATAGTATAAAGTAAAAAAAAAACAGTATAAAATATTTAGGAACATATTTAATGAAAAATTGGCAAGACTGCTAAACTGAAAACCACAGAAACAGGGAGAAATTAAAGACTTAAGCAAAGATCCCACGGTCACGGATTGGAAAACAGCATTGTTGAGATGTCATTTCTCCCCAAAATAAGCAATGCAATCTCAAAAACAAAAAGTCCTAACAGGTGTGTGTGTATGTGTATGTGTGTGTGTATGTGTGTATGTGGAGACTGATGAGCTGATTCTAAAATTTAATGAAAATGAAAAAGACCTATAGCAGCACAGAACTGTCCAGAATGTCTAGAAACATAGGTATCATTTAAATATATTCTGCAGATTAAAGATATTCCTGGCAACATTCTGTATTCATGCTGTAGAACAGCCAAGCAGTCTTGAAGAAAACAGCAAACCTAGAAGGCTAACACTGCCAGACAGCAAGACTTATTAATAAGTTATAATATTATAACAGTGTAAGTGTAATGTTGTCATAAAGATGGCTAGATCAGCCAAAGGAACAGAACAGAAAGCCCAGAAACATAATCACACATATATGATTGCCTGATAAGTGAGAAAGATAAAACTGCAACTCAGTGGAAGGACAGTCTTTTTAATATGCTTCTGTTCATCAAAAGATATCATTAAGAAAGTGATGACAGATTAAAAAAGGTATTTTTCAATACATACTATTGACAAAAGACTCATACTCAGAATATATTTTTAAACAACTATAAATCAATAAGAAAAAGACCAACAATCCAACAATATAATAAAAGTAAATGACCCGAATAATCACTTCACTAAAGGAGATATCTGAATTGGCAACAAACATATGAAAAGATGTTCAACATCATTAGTCATCAGACCAATGGAAATTAAGACTTCATGAGGTAACACACCACAATGGCCAGAATGGCTAAAAATTAATTAAACTGACAATACCAAGTGCTAACAGGATGTAATGCAACTGGAACTCTCACACGTGGATGGTGGCAGTATAATTTAGTACAAACATTTTGGAAAACTGCTTAAACTAAATATTACTAGAGCTAAATATGTAACTACTCTATACTCAGCAAGTTTATTTCTGGTTATATATCTAACAAAAATGACATCCTCCAAAAGACAGACACAAGAATATTTATGGAAGAGGAAATCAAAGTGGCAGCAGAGGAGAATGCTGAGTTCACCTCCCATGAACACATCAAAAATACATCTATATTTGGAGCAATTCTCACTGAAAACAATCTGGAGACCAGCAGAAAGACACTTATACAACTAAGGCTGTAAGAAAAGACCCACAGGGAGCTGGGAAGGAAGGGAACAGAAGCAATCAGGTTGGGACCTGCACCCCTAGGAGGGATATTACACAGGTTCAACGATCCTCCCCAGGGAGTGGGCAGTTCAAACCACATACTGGGCACCCCCACCCTGGACCCAACACCTGCAAGACAAGGCCCCTTGGCTTGTATGAATATCAGTGGGATTGGAGAGGGCACTGTGAGAAACATGGGACACCGCTCATGAAGAGCATGTCACACATGCTGGCCTGCTCAAAAAAGAAGGCGGAGGAGGCAGGCAGAGACTGCCAGAACTCTGGCTGGTTTCCCAGGACTGCCCGCAAGACCACACCAAGTACCCTCTCCTGCCCCTTTTGCTCCATAGCACAGCTCCTCACTAGGGCAAAGGCTGCTGCTGAGGAGAGTGCACACATGGGGGAAAGAGCTGGACTGGACCTAACACTACACTGAATGGGATAGGGGGCGTTACTGGTGCTGTCAGGGATGACAGACCAGGAGTGTCCTGGAACACTGACATGTGCCAGGACAACTACAGTGGGCACACAGTCCAGCCCCTCCTACTCCTGTACTGCTTCCTTCTGAGGAATGGAACCAGCTCCCACTCAACCCTCAGGGCTTCTGCGCTAGCACCTTAAGGCTATGGTAACTACAAGTCAAAAACCTACAATGGTTTTTCTTGTAATAAAAAAATCTTCCAGCAAATAAAGGTCCAAGACTGGATGGCTTCACAGGGAAATTCTACCAAACACATAAAGAAGAACTATTATCTATCCTTCTCACACTATTCTGAAAACTGAAGAGAACAGAACACTCCCAGATTCATTCCACAAGGTGGTAAGTACCCTGATACCAAAACCAGACAAAGACACTATGAAAGAAGAAAATTATAGGCCAATACTTCTGATGAATTTAGATGCAAAAATCTTCAACAAAATATTAGCAAACTGAATACAAAAATATACAAAAAGGATCATACACCATGATCAAGTGGGTAAATTTATTTGAGAGATGCAAGGATGGATCATTATTTGCAGATCAATCAATGTGACATACCACATTAACAAATGGAAGGATAAAAATCACATGATCATCTCAGTAGATGCAGATGAGAGCATCTGATCAAATTCAATATTCACTCATGATAGAAACTCTCATTAGAGTGGGTATAGACAGAGCATATCTCAACATAATAAAGGCCATTTATGACAAACCCACAGCCAACATCATACTCAATGGTGAAGAGCTGAAAGCCTTCCCATTAAATCCAGGAACAAGACAGGGATGCCCACTATCGCCACTTGTTAACATAGTATTGGAAGCCCTAATCACAGCAATCATAGACACACGCACACAGAGTAAGAGATGTCCAAATTGGAGGGTTAGAGGTATAACTGTCATTGTTTGCAGATAATACTCCTAGGTATATATCCAAAGAAAACAAAAGCACTAATTGGAAAAGATACATGCACCCCAATGTTCACAGCAGCATTATTTACAATGGCTAAGGCATGGAAACAACACAAATGCCGACCAACAAATGACTGGATAAAGAACATTTAGGGGGTGTGTGCGTGTGCGTGAGTGTGTGCGCACACGAGTGCACAATGGAACATTACTCAGCCATAAAAAATAATAAATTCTGTCTTTTGTATCAATGTGGATGGACCTAGAGAATATTATGCTCTAGTGAAGTGAGTCAGAGAAAGACAAATATTATATGATATCAATTATATGTGGAATCTAAAAAATTATACAAATGAATGTATATGCAAAACAGAAACAGACTCACAGATACAGAAAACAAAGTTATGGTAACTAAAGGGGAGACTGAAGCAGAGAAGGACAAATTAGGGCTCTGGTTTAACAAACACAAACTACAATGTATAAAATAGATGAAAAACAAGGATATATTGTATAACACAGGGAATTATAGGCATTATCTTGTAATAATTTTAAATAGAGCACCTGAAACAAATATAATACTGTAAATCAACTATACTTCAAGTAAAACAATTTGTAACACCCTTTTTCAAATGCCCCAAATTTCAAAATAAATATACTTAAAACAAGCGTGTTTCAAATATGTACCCCAAATGTGTTTCAATAATGAAATGGACAGATAAATTCTGGAATAGTCACAATGGAACACTACACAGCAATACAAAGCAAAAAAACTCCAAATATATACAATACACATGTATCTCACAAACATAGTGCTGGTCCAAAGAAGCTAGATACTATATACATATGTGTGTATCTGTAGTATATATATACACATATATATAGTGTGTATGTATGTACATATACAGTGCAAATACACATACAGTACATACTGTATGATTGCAGTTATCTGAAGTTAAAAACAGGAAACCTTGATCTGTGATAATAGAAGGGAGAGATGTTATTTACTGGCAAGAGGACACCAGGGAGCCTCCTGGGGTGCTAAAAAAATGTTCCATATGTTAATCTTGATAATGGAAATATGGGTCTGTACATATACAAAATTGTATTTACTTGAACACTTAAACCCTGTGTATTTAACTCTATATATACCTTAAAAAAAAAAAGAAGGAAACCATTTGGGTATGAGAGTGACAATAGGAGATACTGGGTGACTCAGTGACTTTGGATATTTGAGTCATGTCAACAAGCTACTTCCAAAGGTCCAGAGCCACTAAAAAGTGACTCCTAAAGACCATTTCAATGGCTTTAATCTCTGAACTAACCCTTTGTGATCCAATTTCCTCCTAACCTCCATCTGGCTCCTACTCACACTAACTCACCTGGGACACTCTGGCTTGAGGATTCTTCCTCTAATATCCATGGCTCCTCTCCTTGCTCCAGCTTGAGGATCACTTCTGGCTTAGGGATGCAATACCCTGTAAATGAGAATTGTATCATGAGACAAACTGGATGAGTTTTGGGGCCTCTGAAGGAGGAGGACAGTATACCTCAAAGAGAGTACAATTAAAAATGCTCATTTAATCCTGTTATGGGACAGAGGACAACACATTCTTTCTGGTACCCACAAGGGATAAATTGTCCTTCACCTCTGAATCCCCAACCTAAATTATTATTATATTCTACAAAACTTCCACAGGTAAATAAAAAAGGACATGTGTACTGGGGGTCTACATGGGAAACAAATGCTACCTACCCACTGAGAGGAGGTGGCTGTAGGTCTCCAGCATCACGTCCCTGTATAGGGCCCTCTGAGCAGGGTCCAGCTGCTGCCACTCCTCCCAGGTGAAGCCCACAGTCACGTCTCTGAATGACAATGATCCCTAGGAAAACATATTTCTACTCAATCTGAAATGGTCTGAATCAGGTGTTGTGGGAAAAAGTGTTTAAATACTAATTTTTTTTTTACCATTTTTACTATTGAAAATTGACCAGAAATGTTACAAAAGACCTCTACTATATAACTTGTTTTGTGTTACACTTTGTGAGTTAAAAAAGCAATCACAGTAGAAATACCACTGGTGAATTAATTTATTACTTAAGGGAAAAGTATCTGCATGCCCTCATGTGCCCAGATCTGTCCTAGTTTTTGAGAATTCCAAATTGAATAACATACTCTTCCTGGTCTGAAAGAACTTACTCTTATAATGAAACATATAAAGACATACCCAACATAGGACTTAAAGGACCCACAGCACAAATCTGTGCAATGCAGATAGAGATCATACCGGGGTTCTGTGCAAGTTCACGTGAGAGTGTTAGCACCTTGGATTTGACTGAGCAGATAAAACTTTCAGTGATTAAATATAAATAGCAGTTTCTTTATAAATATCTGGCAAAATATCAATGAAAGTTAAGAAGACCTGAAAAAATGTGGTAAGTCAACAGACTGCACAACAGGACAGGAGAGCAGGTCTGAACCTGTGATAAAATAAAGGATGCAGAGGCAGGGGGAAGAGATTCTGGGGAGGAAAGAAGCTAATTGATTTGACTTAAATCCTGTTAGAGATCTCTAAGTATTTAATCACTCACCTAAATCCCTAAAATTCTTGAGCAATCATCAGTTTTATTTATATCTATAAATTAAATAAAATACTGCCAATTCACATTTGAAGAGAGCTTAATTCTGTTATTTTTCAGATAAAACTGTAAATAGACCAGCTAATATTTTCTTCCCATGCCCAAAGGGATTGACAACATATGATGTGTGCAGAACCATCTTACACACTCCCTTGGGGCCTTGCCTCCTCCCTTCTCCCACCTCCACTCACCGCAGGTCCCTGCTGTGAACAGCAGGAAGCCAATCGTGCAGTGGGAATATACACCTCTGTCCCAGTTATACAAACTAATTGTCACTGAAGAAGCAATGATCCCAGAGTAAGGTGGAGTTGGATTGACTAAATTAAGGGGGGCAGCAGTGAAGATGCTACACAGGGAACTTGCTGAGCAAAGGGAGAGAGGAAGAGTTTACTCCCAGAGGGTCTGCGTGATCTGCCCTGGAGGTTCTGGAAACTTTTGTCAAGTCTGAAGAAACAGGAGGAAGAGCGGTGACAATGAGACAGATACTAGACATACATACAGGACTCCAAATGTCTTCAGAACATGGAAGTGGATATACTCATTAAAGGTGAGGCAGATGATTCTGGAGTTCAGTAGAGGGGCTTACTATGAAAATAAGGATGTGGGTGAAAATGGCAATGAGACAGACTGAGGAAAGAGATACCAGCACAGAATGTGAGGGAACACCAATATCTGAGTGGCTGGTAGGAAAAAAAAGAAAAGTAGGCTATGAAGGCTGAGAAGAAATTTTCTGAAATGTGAGAACACAACTAGATGCAGAGAATAGTGGAAAATAATGAGCACAATTTCACAAATATCTGACATTTCCAATTAAAGATAATGGACTTAAAACACACATCTGCCTCTGATGCCTCCAATAATAGAAGTGGAAGAAACAGTAAGACAAACAAATGTGCAAGTAACAGAATACACTAAAAAAGACAATTTCATGTAACTTCTGGATAGTATTAGTAAATAGCATCAGATGAAGGAAACTAGAGGCACCATGCCTACAATTTACAGAAACACAGGTAGGCAGAAGCAGCGGCTTTCAACCACAGCCAGAGACCACCAAGCTCTAAGCTTTCAAACCAGGCAGGGGTCAGCAAAGGTAGTTAGAAGGGTGACTCACTGACAAAATAACCGACTCCCAGGGCACCTTGGCAGCCCCCTACTCTGTGGAGACCCAGCAATTAGTGAAGACTAAAGCTGATGAGCAGTCATTCTCTAAAGCTGGGACACATTAAAAAAAATTAATAAATCTACATAGTCAGCCCTTCATGTGCCCAGGTTCCATCCACATCCATAGATTCAACCAACTGTGGATTGAAAATATTTGGGGAAAAAACTGCAGAAAGTTCCAAAAGCAAAACTGAATTTGCCACACACCAGCAATTACTTACGTAGAATTTACATTGTATTTACAACTATTTACATAGTATTTACATTGTGTGAGGTATTAGAGTAATCTAGAGACTATATAAAGTATATGGGAGGATCTACCATAAAGAAGGCATGAATATACAATGGGGGAAATACAGCTTCTTCAATAAATGGTTCTGGGAGAGCTAGAGAGCTATATGCAAAAGAATCAAACTGGACTACTTTCTCACACCACATACAAAAATAAACTCAAAATGGATTAAAGACCTAAATGTAAGACCTGAAACCATAAAATTTCTACAAGAAAACACAGGCAGTACACTCTCTGACATCATTCTTAGCAATATGTTTTGGATGTGTCTGCTTGCACAAGGGAAACAAAAGCAAAAATTAACAGCTGGGACTACATCAAACTAAAAAGCTTTTGTACACTGAAGAAAATTATCAACAAAATGAAAAGGCTGCCTACTGAATGGGAGAAGACTTTGCAAAAGATGTATCCAACAAGAGGTTAATATCTAAAATATACAAAGAACTCACACAACTTGACAGTCATAAAAAAAAATAATTAAAAATGGACAAGTGACTGAACAGACATTGTTCCAAAGACATACAGATGGCCAACAGGCACATGAAAAGATGCGCTACATCATTAATTATCAGAGAAATACAAATCAAAACCACGAAATACCACCTCACACTGTCAGATGACTATTATCAAAGGACAACAAATAACAAGTATTGGCAAGAATGTGGAGAAAACGAACCTTCATGCAGTGTTGGTGGTAATATAAATTAGCGCAGCCAATATAGAAAACAGTATGAATACTTCTCAAAAAATGAAAAACAGAACTACCGTACAATCCAACAATTCCACTTTTTGCTATTTATCTGAAGAAAATGAAAACATTAATTTGAAAAGGTACTTGTATCCCTGTGTTCACTGCAGCATTATTCACAATAGCCAAGATACGGAAGCAACCTAAGCGTCCATCAACAGATGACTGGATAAAGAAGATATGGTATATATCTATGTATACATATACACAAAATGGAATATTCCTCATCCATAAAAAAGAATGAAATGTTGCTATTTATGACAACATGGATGGACCTAAAAAGTATTGTACCAAGAGAAATAAATCAAAGACAAATACTATATGATTGCATTATATGTGGAAACTGAAAAACAAAACAAATGAACAAATATAACCAAACAGAAACAGAGTCATAGATACAGAGAACAGGAGGGTGCCAGAGGGGAGGGTGGTGGGGTATGGAGAGAAACAGGTGAGGGATATTAAAGAGGCAAAAACTTGCAGTTTACAAGATAAATGAGTCACAGGTGAAAAATGAACAGTGTAGGGAATACAGTCAATAATTATATAATATCTTTGTAGCAGATGATAACGACTTATTATGGTGATTATTTTGAAATGTACATAGAATCACTATGTTGTGTACCAAGAACTAACACAGTTCTACAGGACAATTATACTTCAAAAACAAGCAAACAAACTCATAGAAAAAGAGATCTGATTTGTGGCTACCAGAGGTAGGGTATGGAGGCAGGAGGAGAAAGAATTAGATGAAGGTAAACAAAAGGTACTAATGTTCAGTTATAAGATAAGTACTAGGGATGTAATGTACAACATGATAGATAATTAACATTGCTGTGTGTTAATAAATGATCATTATTAAGAGTAGTAAATCCTTAGAGTTCTCAGCACAAAGAAAAAAAATTTTCTATTTCTTTAATGTCGTATCTATATGAGATGATGAATGTTCATTTTGCCTACTGCAGTAATCATTTCATGATGAAAGTCAAATCATTATGTTGCACACCTTGAACTTATACAGTGCCACATGTCAATTTTATCTCAATAAAACTGAAAAAAACATTAAAAAAATCAAAGAGGATGTGAATAGGTTTTATGCAAATACTACATACACCATTTTATGTAAGGGAATTGAGTGTCTACAGATGCTGGTATCCATGGGTGGTCCTGGAGCCAATCTCCTGCAGATACCAAGGGATGACGGCATATGAACAATACAGACAGTTCTGCCCAAAGTGAAGCCAGCTAAGAAATGCAGCTTCTCACACTTCAATCCTCCATAACAGCATGTATTTCTTTTAAAGCAGCTACTTAATGAAACAGATCTTAGTGCTCTAATTTCAGGATATACCATTCTCCATTTCAAGAACTGAAGGGGGAACCTCCTGCTTGCTTGCCTGCCTCCTTTCCGCCTGGCCTGAAGGAGAGTCCTCCCATGTCCATCCCCTACCCACTCACCTACAGAACCTTCTGGTGAGAGTCTGTGGTAAGATACATCCATATCTGCATCCTTACCTACCAAGTCACCTGTGCTAATCAAACTAGATCTTCAGAGAAAAACAGGAGAGAAAAATGATGGTTTATCAACAAGAAGGGAAAACCAAAACATTAAAAGTAAGCCACCAGAATGAACAGAATGACTGAAGATTAAGGGGGGAAGTACAAAAATATGGGAAAGTTTTGAGATATTCTAAATAGAATCCTCAAATATGTTCAGGAGAATACTGCTTCTCCATAAAGTGAGAATAGTTAGCTATAAGAATCCATCAGAGAGAGGAGTCAAGATGGAGGAGTAGTAGGACCACGAGCTCTCCTCTCCGCATGACTACAACAAAACCACAACTGACTGCTAAACAACCACTGGGGGAAAAAAAGATTGGAACCTAGTAAAAAAAGATCTTCAACTGGAAACATAAAGACAGAACCACAAAGGGACAGCAGGAAGGGCGTGCTTGTATAATCGGGGCCTCATACCCACCAAGTGGGCAACCCACAAACAGAATAATTAAGTTGCAGAGGCCATTCCACAGGAGTGAGCATTCTGAGCCCCACATTATGATCCATAAACCAGGGTTCTGGCATTGGGAGGAGAAGACCCCAGGACATTTTGTTTTGAAGGCCAGCAGGACTTAACTTCAGGATCCCCATGGGAGTGGAGGAAACAGACACTTCATTCTCTTGGAAAATACACACACAATCTCATGTGTGCCAGGTCCAAGGGCAGAGGCAGTGATTTCATAGGAATCCAGACCTGCCTGCTGGTTTTGCAAGGCTCCAGGGGAGGTAGGGGATGGCTGCAGATCACCTAGGGGACATAAAAGCTGGTGGTGAACATTTCAGGAGTGTTCA